CCATAGATTTGTGTGCATCCAAGTGGCGTAGGAGGTTACTGACAACCTCCTCTTTAATCATGATAACCTCATCCTTTAAAAAGATCTCTCTGTGCGACTGCACTGCCTTACTCGTGTATTATCTTTCATGTGTTATAATCAGCTGTAATTTCCTGGTGTATTTTTGAGCTCTGTTGTATCCAAATTGTTGAAAACAAACCTCAAATTTAGTGTGCAAAAATATGTTCCTGTTTTGCAGTGCCATGTTAGACATTATTTTTGCAACTTTAGGAAAGCATACAGTTACTTTAATATTGTTTTTTATTCTATAGCTGAGCATGATGGAATGGATAGAGCCTCCAAAACGGGAACGCAAAGCTAATTATGCTGTTGATGCTTATTTCAGAGAAGCCTTACGTGTTAGCGAACCAAAAGTCCCAAAGGTAAGAAGTTGGCAAGTTTTCTATGTTGTTCTTTTGCTCTTCTCTCCTGTGCTGCGTTGCCAGTTCTCACCTTATACTGGTAATAAAATGCATGTATTTGCAAAGTGATAGTTGCCACTGTTGCTGAATTATGGCAGTTTAATCAAGCTTATATAATGTTAATTTATCTGTGTATTTTTCTGAAGGCTCCACGACCTCCAAAACAACCAAATATTCAGGATTTCCAGTTTTTCCCACCACGGTTATTTGAACTGCTGGAGAAAGAAATTCTCTATTATCGTAAGACTATAGGATATAAGGTAGCGCTTTTTTTTTTTTTTCCCCTCTTCAAATTAGTGAAATGTATTTGTATGCCGCTTTGCAGATCTACTGCAACTTTGACAATAGCTAAATGCAGTAAATGAGACTGCAACTAAACATTTTCGTTTGTTTTTTTTTTTTGCAAAGTGATTCTCATTGTAAAGGAAATAGCTTGTAAAAGAAATAGCTTAAAACCTCTTATCTCTTGTTTCTGTTCCACTTTGTAACAGAAATAGTAATTTTTTCATTAAAAATTTCATATCTGTGTAGCTTTGTTTTGTTGTGGGTTTGTAACAATAAAATAAAGTAGGAAAAAGAGAGGCAGTTATGATACTTCATACACTTTGCAATCAAAAGTGTGATATGTGGTCTGGGGGTTTTTTTTAGATTTTAAATTTTTCAGTTATAGCTTTTGTGTATCTTGTGCAGAAAGTAACTTAAGGTAGTACTGAAGTTGACTTTGTGTTGATATGAAGGCAAGTTTCAATTTTCCTTGCATTGTGCTGGGATGTAACATATTTAAAGGTGTGGAGAAATCTGAGTGTGTTGCTAGTACAAGAAAGAAAACCAGACAACAGAGACATTCTCCCTGCTGACATTACTGGCCAAGCAGTCAACATGAATTCAAATCTGTTTTAATGTTGATTTTCATTGCATATGCCAGTACTGGTTGAGTTTATCAATGGATCCCCTCCTTCCAGACATGTAACTTGCTTTAGAAAGCTCCACGTTTCGTGCAGCAAGAAGAAATCACATATGAAGTGTGTTGGAGAACAAACTTACTATACAAAGAAACAGATAGGAAATTGGTGTTTCAAAAGCATAAAATTAATATTAGAAAAATATTTTTTTAAGAAAAGCAAAAGGTGTCTTAATGTACATTGAAGCAAAAAATAATTTTATGTGGATGGCAAGATAGAATTACAATAGTAATTAAAGGAAGTGTAATTATTTTTTGAAATAAATTATTCAATTAATGATCCAACAAATTACCGTAAGAGAGTTGCTAGTGTTGCCAATATACACGTAAAAAGAGGTATTTCAGTCCTGGTAACGACATCTGTCAGACTAGATAGGTGGGACATGAGTACTTTTTGTCTTAAAAACTGAATATGACTGTTCACTGGTGGTAAAATTGATAAATATGATTGTGTGAAATGGAAATATAACTTCCCATCTGAAGAGAGTTTATTGTTAAAACTAAAGACTGCCATAAACAATATGAGAAGGTATCAAGTAAGTGGAGACTAAGCTTTATGTGCCAGTCTTAATGTAAACCACTAAAGCTAAGGAAATTAGTCAGATGTTAAATACAGCTTTTAACGTCCTCTGCCTTTTGCTGCCAGAAATGTAAGGCCTACAAAATCTTTACTGGATGCTGATGTTTCTGACTCGTTTGCTGTTCTGTGGTATGGCATTGCAATGTACAGATTAAAGGCCACAGATATTAAATAGATGTCAGTGTGCAGAGGAGCAGCTAAAATGTCGCTAGGCCTTGTTTATATGTTATCTCTGGTCCTTACTGTGGCATTGTACCTAGCTTTATAGTAAACCTGTGAGAACTTAGTATTTCACTCTAGTTATAAAACATTATGAATTTTTGGGTGTAAGAGAGCAGATGCTTAGCTAATGAAAAATAAAATCGGTGAGCTGTGGCACCTTATACTAGATGAGGCAATTGATACGTCTTGTCTTGGAGGATAATACTTTGAATTTTGCAACAGTTTTGTAGATACTAATTAAAATATTTTGCTATTTACTTAAATACGCTTATTGTGCTTTAATTTATTCAAGGTAGCCAAGGTGTGAGGTGCTGGATTTTTTTGTTGTTTGGGTTTGTTTTGTGTTTGGTTTTTTTTTGTTCTGTGGCAACAAGCGCATGGTGGGTGTGGACTACATCAGTTCCGTGAGATCTAACATGTGCTTATAAATTGTGAACCAAGGTTGACAGAAAAGTATACAATTTCTTTAGTGACAGTGATTTACTACTGCTTATTGATACCTCTGATTTTAGGTCCCCAGGAATCCTGACCTCCCAAATGCAGCACAGGTACAAAAAGAGGAACAAAAGAAGATAGATGAGTCAATGCCTCTGAATACTGAGGAAGCTGAAGAGAAGGAAAAGCTTCTAACACAGGTAAAACAAAAGCAGCTGAAGTATTTAAACATTTTTTTTTTATTGATATGGAATATAAACACTAAAAATTATAAATATGAACAGGAAAGCTACACTGATGTTGTAGAAAGAAGAAAGCACCCAACATGCAATGTTTTTGCTTGGTTTTTCTTTGAGGAACTTTTTCTGTACTTGAACATGTTTGTGTCTGTTGTACTTTGAGCTGACTGTCCTGGCTGACAGCAGAGCCACACAGCCTCTCGTTCCTTCCCCCACGGGTAGTGGGGAGCAAGAAAATTCAACTAAAAAGGCTCAAAGATTGAGGTTAGGACAGAGAGGTTTCATTCACCACCTATGGTCACAGGAAAAAAAACCCAACAGACTAGACCTGGGGAGGAAACTTAAATACACCACCACCAGTTATCAACTAGATCAAAGTAGGATAATGAAGAATACATAAATAATACGTAAATACATAAATAAATACAACTTCATCTTAAATACCCTTCCCCCACACTGGCATAAGGAGGAGGCCAGCAGGTAGGGTGTGCGGTCCATCTGGCCATTACTCATTGTTCATGGCAGTTCTTACTTCTTGGATAATAGGGCTCATGCAGTCTTCCCTGATGCCGAGTGGTGTCCATCTCACTGGAGCCAACTCTCTCCCTCCACATGAGTTTGTCCTACCTGTGTGGGACCTACCTTGGAGTTGCAGGTTGCTTTCAGGCATGTCTTTAGCTCCTGTGTGGCCTCTCTCTGCCCCTGGCATGGGGTCCTCCATGCACTGCTGCGTCCTGGACATTAAACTTCTATTCATCTCCTCAGTTGGCAGGCAATCACCTCTCTGCTGTCTCACCATAGGACTCTGGGGAACGCTCTGCTCCTGTACCTTTCTACTCCCTTTCTCACCAACCACATGTCTTGCTCTGCTCTCACTTCCCCCTCCAAACAGAAAAACTCCCCAATACAAAAGACAGGATACAGAGACAGAAAGAGATCGAGAGAGGAGTAGCCCAACAGGTTTCCCCTCTTAAATACGTTGATCACATGGGTGCTGATTGGCCTGGCCTTGGCCAGAGGTGGGTCCGACTTTTACTTGGGGCTGGGGGAGGCTCTGGAAGTTTCCCAAGGGTCATCCCCCACAGCCCTCTCCCTGCTACCAAAAACTCTTGCCAGATTCAGGCCCATGACAGTGTCTTATTCACCTACTCTTTCCTTAAATGTCTGCAATATTTCTGAGGAAAGAACTTGGGTAGTAGATGCACTATGCAGCAATGCACACAGAAATCTAGGCAGTGGGTTTTCTGTATATGCATCTAGTTTGCATGGCTTTTTTTTTTAATAGAAAGGACTTGAATTTGAGAGGATAAGCCTCTATCAACATATTTGGTATTTACACAGATGTATAAGACATGTCACATTAATTTTGTCACAGTTAGGTTGTTAGGCCTGTTCTTTTTATACTGGGACTGAATCCCTGTCACTGGCTAGTTTCTGGACTTCTTGATCTGTTACCCTGCTGAGTAGGCTTGTTAAAAGTCAATTATTGAGGAGAAAGGTGTGTCTTGAAAAGCAACAGCATTTTTTGGTTTAGAAAATTTTCTGTAAAAATTTCTATAGAAGAAATTTGCAAGGTTGCAATTTGACTATTATTTTCACCTCTTTGTAGCACAGGAAATATTTAAGCTAGTGCTGATATGCATGTTAGTACTGTTAATAATTAAAAAGAAATAGTTGTATTGTATATATTAGACTTCTTGTAAAGGTGCTGTCTAATTGTGGAGTGAGCTTATTCAGCTGAAGAGCTGACAGTTACTTGTAAATATTTCTGTGATGAAAGAAACTCAGTGCACTACAAATTGTTGTTCAGGCATGTGATTTCCTTGTTTGTTTGTTCTTGATGTTTTCTTCTTTCCCTGTCTTTAAATTGTAATGTCAGATTCTTGGATGATGTTTTTGTACATTGTATCTCACTTAAGTGTTGTTCAGTTTCGGATATGTGTCTTTGGTACCTAAAAAATTTGCTGTTAGACGGTGCTATGGAGTTTCCATTTGATTGTATCTTTTTGGACTAGAGATCATTTCTTGACATACTTACTCTTTCGTCCAACTGTTTGTCTATTTCAGGGTTTGTAAAGGTCCAAAGTAGAAGCTCTTGCTTTAGATAGTTGCACTACTCTATGAACTTGGAATGACACTTGCACTGGCACACCTTATACTCCTAAGACATTTCTTATGTGTGTCTGTGAAGGGGTGACTTAAATAAAATTGCAATCACCTGTCATTGAGTTTGTTTCTTTGGAGAAATACCACAAAAAAAAATTAAATATGAAGAAGAACAAAAAGCTCTTACTAATGCTTGGGAAAAATGCACAGAAATAACTCTTTAGACTTTTAATGATGCATTAATGAGCCCTGGATAATACAAGTTTATGGAAATCCTGAAAGACCATTAATCACTGTAATTATGTGCCATTGCAGAAGCATCGCCAGTTGGAGCACATGATGCATACATAAGACAAAATTTTGCAAAATGTTTCCCTTTTACCTAGTAATGCCTTCTTGATGTTTTACTGCTTACAGGGTTTTACAAACTGGAATAAAAGAGATTTTAACCAGTTTATTAAAGCTAATGAGAAATATGGTCGTGATGATATAGACAATATTGCTCGTGAGGTGGAGGGAAAGTCTCCTGAAGAGGTCATTGAGTATTCAGGTTTGTGCTATTTTGAACTGTATTTCATACAGGTAGTATCACTCTCGTTTTTCTACATGTTCTTTTAAAATTAAAAGATGCTGAATTTGGGTGTGTATAAGAGTTTGGTTTTTTTGAAGTACATGATTGTTCTTACCAGAAGACTTAATTCTCTTACAAAGATTGATTTTGCAGCATATAAATAATCCTTCAGCTGTCTTTATCCCTCCTTAGTTAGAACCTGGCACAGTTAATTTACATTGACAACATGGTCTTGTGGAGTCATGACGTTGGCTTTTAGTGGCAACATGATTCTTTATGCTGTGGGTATATATGCTATTTTAGCTAGTACACGGTATCTTTGGCTTTTGTATTTGCACAGTGCTTCTTAATTGGTACAGAATTTTTCCTCTTTGATCCTTGGATTTAATTCTACTAAATACTTTTTATGAAATTTAACTTTGCAATGTTTTTCGTATAGCTTCAAAAGGTAGAGATCCCTTCCAAGTGTTTAATTTATATTGAGTTGGCCAGAAGATGTCACAGGAGAAGCCACTAATTACTAGCTTTTATAACAGATAGTCTAATGAAAACTGAAATATGAGTGTTTCATTGTTAGACTAGCAACTCTAACCTGTTTCACCATTGTTGTGAAAAGCTGTCCTTTTAAGTAAGATTTGGGTTTTACATGACTACAATTAATTACGTTGAATATAAGCTTTATTATAGTGGTTATTAAACCTTTGCTTTTAGTTAACTTACAGCTAACTAAGAATAAAGGGTGTGTGTAATTTTTGTTCCTTTGCTAGCATCGTAGAAGGGAGAATATTAGCAAATCTTTTAAGGTTTAATGAACTGCAGACTGCATTCCTTTTGGTTTTGCTAGAGAGCCTCAGCAAAGTATAGTAGTAAGAGTAGAGGAAAAGATTTTATTTTACAAATTATGTTTTGTGTTTTAGCTGTTTTCTGGGAACGTTGCAATGAACTACAGGACATTGAGAGGATTATGGCTCAAATTGAACGAGGAGAGGCAAGAATTCAACGGAGAATCAGTATCAAGAAAGCCCTTGATGCTAAAGTAATCACTGCAGGTTTCTCATTTTCTACAGCTGACTTCTTCCAGATTCCTTCAGAAAAGGAATAGTTGGGAGTTCTTTTTGTATAGGATATCTAAAATACTGTGTATCAGTAATCTACACTAATGTGTAATAAATCCTTGATGTAATATTTTATGGTTAACAGTCCGCATTCTTGTTTTGTATTCAGATTGCAAGGTATAAAGCACCTTTTCATCAGTTGCGTATTCAGTATGGAACAAACAAAGGCAAAAATTATACAGAAGAGGAAGACAGATTTTTGATATGTATGTTACACAAGATGGGATTTGACAAGGAAAATGTCTATGAGGAACTAAGGCAGTGTGTACGCAATGCTCCTCAGTTCAGATTTGACTGGTTTATCAAATCTAGAACTGCAATGGTAGGTATTGGTTATGTGGACTAAGTCATTATGCAAAGTATCTTTTTCATTTTTTCTTAAGCACCATCCTATTAAAATTTAGATTTGTGCTAGGATATTGGAGTCTAGGAAACAAGTGCTGAAAGAATAACTTGGCTTTTTTTTTCTTCTCATTTATTGTTTTTAATAAAATAATATTTTCCTTTAGCAAGCAACACATCTGAAAAAAACAGACTAGAAGACCTGCCAAGCTGAAGTCCCATGTTGCCCAAAGGGATTAATGTAGATGTAGACTACCCTTAAAAATATCCTTGTTACTTCTATTGCAAACCAAAAGTTTTACCAAGCGTTGTCTCTTAAAATATGACCCATTTTCAGAATTATTGGACGATATTAAACTCAAAACATTTGAATTATATGCTGGGAGAATAAAACATATTTTTAAATATTGGTACTTAATTACTAAAAGCTTGCAAAAATTTAGTGATTCATGTAAGAATTATCAAAGCAATTGATTTCAAATGCATTTTTTAATTGTAAGGGTTATCACATGCAAGTGATTAAATGAGTTACACTTTTCTAATGATTTTGTTCATATTTCGACAAGTTTTGATAGCAAGTAGACTAGTAGTCTGAATTTTAGCTTTATTTTTTTCCCTTTCTCTATCTGAAGAGCAGAGCCATTCTTTAATTCAGTCATTGAGTGAGAACCAATGACACTAACAGAAGCTTTGGTGATTGCAAATAAACCACAGAATATGTGACTCTTTCTTAATGATAAAAGCTGTTACCTCTGCCCTGAGATATTTGCTCAGATCTCACCTGATTCAGTTTCTTTTTCTTATGAGTAAAATTTTTAAGTGTGTGCATCTTATGTAAGAAACACACATGTGCATTTTCATGTGAATGTCTTTATCTGAGGAAAAATACATTCCAACTTTTTTATGTAATGTTGGACATAGCTTCATCTTTCTTACCATGAGTGAGAGCTGGAACATTTTCTTTGCTTGAATACAAAACCACGTTAGTCATGGCTGATACGAAAGAGTGGACCACGCTGTCCCCTATGTAGCTGTCATAGATACTTCCTATTGTCTTGTAAGAAAATTTCTGATTATATGCTATGCTGCAGACATGTAACTTAAATGCCATTTCCTATGTGAATCTGGGTGGGGTTTTTTTAATAGTTTAGTCTAGCAATTGCAGAACTGCTGTGCGTATCATTTGCTGTCTTCACTTCCTGGCTGCAGGGTTTGTTTGTAAAATGTTCTTTCTGAGTTCTAGGTACCGTACTAAGAATAAATGAAACATAAAATAAATTATTTAAAATGTCTATTTGAACAGGTGGGAATATTTGATTTCCCAGTGTTATTGTAATTATGCAGTGCATCTTCTACTTGATATTTCAGAGTTAGCCCTTAATTAAAAAGAATTACAGGCATTATTTGCTAAGATGTATATTTGTAGAAATACTGGATTTTAAAATGAAGTGCATAAAGAGAGAAAACTGCAATAGTTAGTTTATTATGAAGTTTCTTATAAGTTATCTATGGAGGAATTATTTAAGTAAACCATAGAAATGGGCACTAGAAACTAAAAATGTAGCTTGACATTTAATATTAGTTGACATGTAGTTAAGTCAGGGGTAGAGTCAAATGTTTAATTTATATCTTGTAGAGCCTGATGTTCAGTCTAATTTTTTTAGGGGGATAGGAGCAATTTGTTATAGAAATATGTTTTGTCGTGTCTAATGCTGAAATTGAGGCACTAGGAATATAGGAAATCTTTAGGATTATGTCTCCTATTAAAATTCTGTCCATAATATTTTTATTTTTTCTGCTGTTACACAGTTGAAAAACAATTGTATGAAAATACAAAGCTGAAGTAATCTCTCACTTTCGCTGTGCATTTAATTTTCTTAAATGTTTCAAATTGTCATGATATGTATGGCTTGGTAGTTTATAACTGCCCATTACTGATACGTGTTCAAATACCCTGATACTTGTGGAAGTACTAATTTCTACGGGTCCATTTTGCTTAGTAAGTTTTATAAAGGAACGTGCTGGAAAGTCCCATAATACCACGAATAAAGAACCAAGTATAAGTATAAATAGAACAGGGTAGATGGTAAGTTGTATGAAAGTGAGTAAAACTTTTTAGAACACTGAAATCCATGTATCATCTTAAGAATACCCTTTTCATTCAAATTGATATGAAACAAGGTAGAAAGGGCAGTATAACTCTGACAAGATTTACCAGACTCTTTGAGAATACTTTGTGTTCTATTACCACTAGATGTCTCTTGAATTCCATATAAATAGCTCATTTATCTTCCATCTTTTTTATTTCTGTTTCTCCTCATACTGAAGATTTCGGAAAACAAAAATTCTACTTTGTTTATTTATTGCAAAACTGGATGGTTTACCTAAAATGTAAGTTTTCAAAGAGATTGAGAGTGCCTAAAATTATAGGGTTTACTTTTTTGGTTTTTAAACTGGGCACAGATGTTTAAAAATTAAAGTTTAGTTGTTATTCTTGTGTTTCTGTCCAGGCAGGAAGAATGCAAAGTATCATGTCAGTAGTGAATCATGTATGTTTTCTGAAGTCATAGATTATATTGCATATTCTTTTTTACCTTCCTGCAAACTGTACCCATCATAAGACAAATGACTCCTTTGTAAACACGGGTATGTACAGGCCTGTTGACAGAGCTTAGGACTGCTTTCACTCCCATGTCAGCATCTCTGTCTTCAGTCATGCAGAAGGTGATGGTTCAGTGCTCCCATCCTATTTATTGCAATACTAGTCTTTATAGCTATGAAGAGGTGAGCAAAGTACATCTTATCTCTTTCCCTCCTAAAGAGAAAAGGTATCAGGCTACACTGAATAAAGTCTCATTTGTAAAGGTGCAAGACATTTTGAACTATTCAGTGTATTTTTATAGTAATAAAATGGAATTGATCAGTCCATATTGAAATGTATCTAGCTCAATTCAGGATTTCTCATGCAGATTCTGATGGTAGGTGTGCCAGAAAGCCGTGTGCATGCCACGTCTTCCTGTCAACTGCTTCTGTGATTCTTCAGGAGAACTGGTTTAGAGTCCATCCTCTGTCCACTGCATGTTGTTCTGGGGTAGTAGTGCATCTGGAAAGTCTAAGCATGAACCTGTACACTTTAATAAATATATGTATTTATGCAAGCGTTTTGCCCCAGGAGAGAGGGTTTTTCTTACCGTCTCAGGCAAATGGATCAAGTTTACTTCTTAGATTCTATTCTAGCTCCAGCAGGACTGTCACATTCCAGGGCCCAAGCATGGCACCCCAATTTATACTTGAACATGTACTGGGGTCTGTGGTATAACTTTTACAGGAACGTGGTGGAAATGACTCATTGTAATACTTTGTTTGCAAAACTACACACATGAGACTGGAATGTTTCCAGTAGGGTTTTGTAAAGAAAAATGTCCTGAAATATTTTCCTTTGTGGTAAAAAAAAATCGTAGTGGCAGAATACTCTGTGTTCATTCTGAATTACACAGCTTTCACCCTGTGGAAACTAGAGAAGGAATGTAGTTAAGTTTGAGGGTATTAATGTCTCAAAGGTGAGTCATAGGCCTGACTGTTTCACAACATTTAGGATGAAGAAATTGTGCAGGCTGCATTGTTTTCCATCATGTAACGTGATGGCTGAAGCAATATAGAGGTTACAGATGCTAAGAAAATAGAGACTAATTTATGGGCAAATTCATTGCATATAGACTAGTTGTAGGTTAAGAGTTATGCTACTATGTAATTTTAGGATGTTTTGTGGTTCAAAAATTGCTTCATAGAATTTAATAGAGATGACATTTTTACAGCTTTTTTTTTTTTTTTTGCTTTGAGAGAAGGCTTCCTTCTTTGAGTCAGAAAGAAAAGCCTGTGGAATAACTGTTCTCAGTGTAGATAGACTGGACTAAATAATTGTGATAAAATTAGGACTGTTATGTATTTCATAAAAGATTTTTTTTTTTGAGATGTGATACAGAAAACTGTCCAAGTCAAATGAGTTCTATTCACCACGCCAACTATTAACTGCAATACAGGCACTTTGAGTTGTATTGGAAATACTTTTTAATGTATGCAATGACCTTATGGCATTTAATGGTGATCACTTTCAGAGACCTTGGAAGTCTTTAGCTTAAAAGCCTCCTACCTTTTGGGGGCTGTTTGACTAAAAATACTACATGAGTTCATGGTTTAAGACTGGATAGATTTCATTGCCATTTTGGAGCTCTACAGTGTTTTACCACAAAAAACTAGTCTGTGTGCCAAAAAAGTATTGCTTAAATAGCTTTGATTCCTTTTCTCTCTCCTTTAAAGATACACTTGAAGACCTCTTCCTAAAACTGACGTAGTATTATATCAGGCTGTGATTTGTTTCATCTAAATAATCTTAAAGTCCAGATTAGTGTTTTGGGGTGTCAGTTTAGAAGATATAGACAATCTTGAAATCTCTTTGTCAGGAAGTCAAATATTTCAGTACATTTCTTTGTTTTATAAAGACGGTTAAACTAAGGTAAAGACAGATGAACAGTAAATAAGCTAATATTATTAGTACTTGAATGTTAAGTGGATTTGAAAAACAGATATTTTGGAATTCAATAATTTTGAAGATATGTATGTAAATGAATTTGTATAATTCATTTAGAGAATTTATGTTTTCTGTTTCCTTAGGAGTTTCAGAGACGCTGCAACACTCTCATATCATTAATAGAAAAAGAAAATATGGAAATTGAGGAAAAAGAAAGAGCTGAAAAGAAGAAAAGAGGAGCAAAAGTTACAGCAGTATGTGTAGCAGCACTTTACTTCCTGTGGGAGAGAATTCAAGTATATTTTGTTAGAAAATGAAAAAGATAATTGTAGCCACTGATTGTTTTCATATAAACCAGTAGTTGAGAGATTAAACTGAAATATTTCTCTATTTGCAGGTCTCCTCTTTTTTTACATAGATATCTCCTATTCATAGTATTTTGAGGCCTTTTTTTTTTTTGAGCAAAGTCTTTTAAGTAGGAGATGTTTTTTAAAGAAAAGGTAGCACTGCCTCCCTACCTACATATTTAAATCATATATTTGCATTAATTTAATCTTGGATTGTTATTTCTCCCCTACACAATAGTTTTTGGAAGAAGAAATAAGTGCTTTTTTTATTTTGAAAAGTGTTCACCTTTAGACCAGAATTGTGTATAAGTCAGAGTCCTAATCTTTACATCCAGTTCATGGAATGCGTGGTACCTGTACCATTGAGACCATGTATTGATTTCAAGAAGATAAAAAGAGTAGCAAAATTGAGTGTTTAATTTGGGGTTGCTTGGGGTTTTTTAATTTTTTTTTCCTATCCTTTACATTCTACAAAGCAGAATTGAAACAGGTATTACATTAGGGTCAATTATCTTCATTTTCAATTGTTAGTCATGTACTTCAATTTTCTTTATTTTCATTTTTATTGATGCCACCATTTAATTTATTTTTTCCTTTTTAGTCACAGAAGAGAAAAGCAGATTTGGCTCCTGAGAATGCTGGAAAAAAGGATGCTAAGAAGGTGAAATCATGAACCTGAAAATTGAAGGCTAAATGTAAAACTGCTACTTTCTTCTCTCCAGCTACAAGTATTAATTACCAACTTCTTTGTATTCATGGTACTATCCTCCAAATCCCATGGTTTAATTTTGCAAATTTTGTATACTATACAATGTCTTTCTTTATCTAAGATGTGTAGCTTTATATTTTATGCATTCCAGTATTTTTGTGTACTGTATTTTGTGAGTTTCATGTCTTTGGCAAAAATCACTCAGTCCATGGTTTTTTGAAGCTTGTGCTGAGGTTTTAGCTTTTCTATGTTTTATATGCTGCTGCTTTGAAAGAAGACTATAGATTCTATAGCTATATTATTGGTGTTTCATATTTTAAATTTATATGGCTGTTGGAATATAAACTGACTTAATTACTTGACGAGAAATATACTTCATCTTTGTTTACCCTCTCTCCCTCTTTTGCATAACTATGTTTAGAGTGAGTGTTAAGGTTTGTATAAGTGTGCCTTCATCATTGGTCAGATTTTTTTTTTTTTCAGAGGACTACTTAGATAGGATCGGGAGCATGACCTAACAACAACAAAAAATCTAATTAGACTGACATCCTTGTTTTCTGTCAGTATTAAATTGACATTTTTCTCTGAAATGTGTGGAAGGAAAGCCACCAAATTCTTATGCTTTTCTTCCTTCTTTATCACTGGTTTCTGCGGGACTTCATACATGCTTAAGCAGAGGATAAGGTGTTTTTCAGAATGACCTCTAGATGTAAACTTTTCTGTGCCTAATAAACTGAAGTAGTCAGCTAACAGCTTTTTTTTTTTGAAGTAACATCTTCTGGTTGGTAAGCTGCTCAGCTATGCTGCCTTGTGCTGAAAGATCTTTGTTGCTCTAATTATCTCTGTTCACTTTCTGCTTTTACCTTTGATTGAACATGTCAGTCGGAAGCAATGGGGATATGTTATGGAGTGCTCCTTTTTAGTATTTCTATTTTAATGAGGATTAAAGTGTTGGATATCTGATTTATTTTTTTTTTTTGACTCTACAAGAATGGCCTTTATTAAGCAGGTACATAGCTTCTGCTTACCTTGGAGTCTCTGCCTTTCCCTAATCAGTAGAACAATAACTGTGACATGTAATGTTTTACTTCAATCTTCTGTCTCTGATCTGGTGTTTAGTATGGACCTTGCTACAGTGAGACATGCCCTCGGAATGTCAAGTCTCGACTAATGCAGTGTGCTTTACATGATGCTTCCCTTGAAGACTGCTTGTAAATTTCTTCTGGTGCAGTTTGCTTTCTTCTGTGGTTTGAGGTGTTTTGAGATGAAAAATACCCCTTCAAACTCTGTGTTTCATGCTTTGCATTGACTACCTTCTCTATTTGTAAAATGAAGGACTTCATAAAAAGCTCTTGAGTCTTAGGACAGTGTTCTGCCTGTATTTTTTTTAAAGTCATTTAAAACATATTGGAATGTCTGAAGGTTTCTGGGATTAATCTCTAAGCTCAATGAGTAATTTCCAGCCTTTATTAATAGTCTGCGTTTAAGGTTTGGGGCAAAATGGGTGCAATGACTTGGTTGAGCATTTTGAAAAATTAATAATTTACTTTCGTTATTCGGAATGAAGCTTTTGTTTAGGGACTAAGTTGTTAATTATTTCACTGGGCTTTTATTTATCAGACTTGCAGTGCAAAAAAGGGTATTCACCTGATGAGTGGAAAGCTACATCTAGTAATGATCGGGCACAACTTTCAGACAGAAGGTTAGTGATGGGTGTCAATGCATGCTTTTAAACGAGTATGCAGCCCAGAAGAGATGAAAGTGTTTTCAAATAGTATTTTTGGTATTGGAGTAGTTGACATCCTACTTTATCCTTGGGAGAAAGACATCCCATGTAATTAAAAGCTGGAAAAAGGTTGTGCAGCTACATACATATATATCCACAAATCCCTGGAGCATTGCTATTAATAGAGAGAGGAAGATACTTTATTTACATTTGCTTTTTCGTTCCCATGCCACTCAGTAAGTTTATGGCCTGAAATTATAAAAACAAGTAAAAAGAGGAGGGAAATAAAGGCTGAAGAGCCAAATGAATTTTTATTGAATTAATGGCTAGGTCTAGACTGTATTCCATTGCTCCTATTTAGCATTGGGTGAATATTTTAATGTTTTAAGTCTTGAAACAAGTGTATTCTGGTTTTGTTTATTGTAGATTAGTTTTGTTTGACTTAACATGTTTTCGTGTATCCAGCTTTTCTCTATTGCGAAGTGTATGAAATGTCTTAAAATGGTAGTATCTCAACTTATTCTTTTATGCAGATTTCTTGGTTTGAGTTAGCACTTGAGTTAATGCTCACTTTGCTCCTCCTTCAATGACATGATATACTAGCTGTATAGCAAAAGATCGTGCAATTGTTCTTCCAGATATTATCCTCTTGATCAGACAGCTTCTCTGAAGAATGATAGATGCTTCTCGAAACTATCTGTTATCTCTTAAAGTCTGTAGTTCCTAGTTACACAAACTATCTGTTATCTCTTAAAGACTGTAGTTCCTAGTTACACTGACTGTGCTGTTCAACGGAAGTCCTTGAGAGCATTTGTATACTATATACAAGTCCTTCAGCATACTGAGTCTTCCTGTCTATCATGGCCCACAGTGATAACTAAAGAAAATTTCTAACAGCTTCTGGTCAAGATCAAAGGAAAATAGATATTTCTTCTCCTTTTTCGTTCTTTTAATTGCAGACATACATGCAGTATATGCCTAGCGGTAAGTATCTCAACAATATGCTGCTGTGATCCAAAATTAGATGGACTGAAAAAAGGCAATTTTCCTACTTGTAATTACTGTTTTCTTAGGTGTGGAATACTATTTGTAAGAAATTTGTAAGCACTGAATGTAATGTGATACACAACATCAGAGTGTGAGCCTTTAGGCAACTTGATAGTAGCCAAAAAATTGCATGATACAGAATTTTGAAAAGAATTTGTTTTCTTTTGAGTATACAACTAAAATTTGATTGTGCCAGCATTAGGCTTGAAGAAACAAAGAGTAGTCACCCAGCACCTTTCACACATCAGGCAATGCACATAACATCCTGGGAGAGGTCACAACAATTGTGGTTTTTTTCTTTTCTCACGTTCATCAGTTTCAAATTATCAGTCCGTGTATTTTTCAGTTATGTTATTGATAGCAGTAAAAAAGTCACACAGCTGACTGTCTTAATTACATTTAATTTCAATTTATCATAATGACATAGAGAAGGAAATAATCTTTCTCCCTGCTGGTAATACTAGACCATCTTTAGGTACTGATTGCACAAGCAGCATTACTATACAAAAATATTAATAAATAATTTTTTCTTCTAGATTAGCATTGCTTGTTTGATTTAGTGCTGATGCTGGTTATGGTTTAAAAAGAAATCCAGCTTTCAATCTTTGAGATAATAAGCAAGGTGTACGTTATATGGAAATTAATCAGAATCTTTCTAAATGCCTGATGGAAATAATTTGGGTTATGCAGCTCCTGCAGCGCACTGCTGTGATGCAGGCACTCTGTGCATACCTCTTCCATGAGTTCAGTGGAGGAATTATGTACTTTCAGTGATCACAAATTAACGCCAAAGCTAAAAAATGTTGGCCTTACAGGCTGAAAAAGCAAATGGAATCTTACCATCAGCAGCAGCTTATGTGAATGTAAAATGACATGGTTGGTGCAGCCATTGGCACTTAAAATGTTGGAAAGGGTTGATCACTGCCCGTAGTTCTCATCTGGTTAAGATAGGTTGACAGTTGTTATATTTTACTTAAGTTTATCTAGTCCTTGTACTTAGCTTCAAGCATGTATGTAATGCTTTGTTGGGCCACAGTTACAATGTTTGATATGTTCTTTTTCTGAAAGAGTTAAAGTTGAACTTAGTTTGCATATTGCATGATACCCATCCTTTCAAAAGAGCCTTAATAGGAGTAATGTTTTCTGCCTCAAAGATATGTCTACGTTGTGTTGCTGAAAGATGACTTCTGAACTTTTTCAAGTTGAAATTTGTTTCTGAAATTGTACATATATGAGAATAAAAATTAATATGAACTTGATGTCTTCTGGTAATTATACTTCTGGTACAGATGGGCCTGTGTGCTTGGATACTGTTCAAAATTGTGTTTTTATTGCTCTTATACCTCTCATAATATTCAGGCTGTGGTACCTGAATGTGAGGAGGATGTGTGTGGCTTTTCCCCATCAGCTTTTAAAACTTTCTAAATTCTTGTAATGTAAAATAAAAGACTAATAGTGCCTGTCTTTTTGTAACAGCCTTGCCTGTGTTGTCACTCAGTACAGTATGGTACAGTGTATGTTGATCCTTTATTAAAGTACATTACTGTTTTTCTGTTACTCCATTCCTTTGATGTGTTACTAAAACAAAATACTTCGGAGCTTAAGTCTAGGAGACACACAATGGTAGGGACCAGGAATTTTGTTATTGCAGCTGTTGATCACTAGTAGACATGCTAGATAGTCTACTTGGGGAGCTGCAAGCTCTAAATGAATGCTCAGATTTCCACTTTTTTCTCAAGATGAACCCCTAGAAAAAAGAGAGAGGCAGTAAGGGGCTCCAGAAGACTAGTGCATCCTGGCATTGGCTGGTAGCAATTCTGTCTGCTTCACAGTGACCTTTGATAGACCTCACTCTTTATCAGGTATAGGCAACTAGGCCAGGAAGAAGTATCAGGGAGTAGAGATGTGGATCACCTTACCTTGTCCTCAGCAGCAGCCCAAAACAATTGTTGGGTTCACTACAAGAGCTGTGGTTCTTCCAGCTAGCTTTGCTTAGTGCTAGGTTGAGCATGAGCCCATAGCTACTTTCTAATTCTTACGTATTGTCTGAGGTAGTCTGCCAGCACTAAAGTCTACTGTTTCCAAGATGTATTTGGAAGCAGCACCTGCCAGCTCTTCTGGGGAAGATGCTCTGTTCAGTCAGAACTTGTAACAGGAACAGTGATCCTGTCTGCAGAGCTACTTGAGTGGCTGTGGAGTTTGCACAGCTGCTGTAGTTATGAATTTCGTAACTACCTAACTGTAGTTACGAATTTCATGGAACTTTTACAAAATTCCAAGGATATATCCATGCTGCCAGCAGTCCATCCTTTCTTTTAAATAAATATAATGCAGCATTTTGTTCAAGTTGTAACTCAGTGCAGTTTAGGACTCTTGAAGAAATTTGCTGTTACAAATTTCTAATCGTCATTCATCTGGAAGAACTGGCTATAAAATATCATCTTACAGTGAAATCAGCAATATAATGAATAGCAATACTGATAAACCATAAACTTTCTATGAATATTTATATGTGTTGATAATGGTTTCCTTTATGTATGTATGGGTAAAATGTTGACAAGTTTACTAATTAGTCTTGGTTTTCTGCCTGAAATATTTTTTCATTGACTAATGCTCTGTTAAATAAACTCATATTCTATGGTAGGAGACATGACAACAGCATAGAAAAAAATAGAAGTTC